CTTTGGATTAAAAAATGCTGCCCCATGGAAGTTTTTTTGTTCGTTTTGAGTGATAAGAGGTGGGTACAGATTTGATTCTCTTGTGTTTAAGTTCCATTTCTGAATGCTGACTTCAGCACCAGATTTCTCTGGTGTCTCTGGCAACAGAGGGAAAGGGGAAAGGATTATAAGAAATGGATATTATACATGATCATATAAAATTATCCAATACAAAATTATCCAAGGAGTTTGTGCCTATCTAGGATGCAGTATAGAAGAAAATTGTCATTGTAAATCCAAAGACACTCCTCCATGACCCCTTGTACAGTATGTCTGCCCTTGAGGCTTACAAGAACACCCACAACTATGAGAAAGGATTTATCCTGACACTGGAGGACTGTAGTTTTACAAAACAGAAAACACATTATAAATGCATTAATCAAAGCTGGAAAACAAAACAAATCATTTTACTTACAGTCAACAAAACCTTCAAGATGACTTGTACTTATTTGCTCTTCGACTTATTCCAAGCATCCATACTTGGATCTCCACCTTACCTCTTTGTATATGGCTTCAGGTTTGACTCAGCATAAGGATAAAGTGTGGCAATGTTGTAGGTATGTTGTAGGTATGTGTAGGATGATGTATATATTGGATTTTGGCTTGTTTTGTAAGAGCTGTAGAATTTCCTGTCTGATTGTTGGTTGACTTTTATCTTCTCATCTATAATTACAACTATTATATTTCAGAAGACTAGAAATAAATGAAATTCTATGCTAACCTGAAACTTAAGAGCAGAAGATGAAGAATAGGACAGAGAATCTGTTTTGTTTTGTTCAAAGATAGATAAAAAACAAAATGAAATGTTTGGGGCCTGAGAAAGGCATCTATTGACTCATTTGTTCCAGATCTTCTCCCTTGGATAAGCTCTAAAATATCCTAGCACTAACCTAGAAGTTGGCAATTTTTCTGTCTTTCCTTTGCTCCCTTGCAGTTTCTTTTGGGTCAGAGAGCTGTACACCAATCCCTCTGGTCCATTGTGGCTCAGGAAATTACAAATATTTTCAGCTGTGTCAGGTTCTACATATGCAAGTTAGGAGGTTCAAAGGGAAGCTTAATTGACACTAATCCTCGTCTTGACTTTTGCTCACCTCCTCCTCTTTTCCCACTAAGCCTTCCCACCTTCCCACCTCAAAGCCACAGAAGCTTTACGATTTTTCTTATAAAAATATATATATTTAACCCTTTGGCAATCTCTTAATGCCCTTTTATTAAATCCCTTAACTCCTTTTATTAAGTCCAGGGTAATTAAAATGATTATAAACCTCTCTTGAGAGATTATACCCTTTAATCATAGTGCATAATTGCTGAGATGTAGGCAACATTTGTGGTATATCAAATATAAAAATACTTTGTGCAAAGATGTTTAATAACAATTTTTAAAACTAAGATCTTGATTAAGGAGGTTTAGGGCATTAAAAATTGTATCTACATGCGGTCACAACAAAACATTGAAGGACTTCCAGTACTTTTCCACATGTACAATGGCACAGTTGTAATCGGGTTTCTCAATTTTTTTAAAACTCTGGCTCCTCAGATGGCATAATCTGTCCTAAAGCTATTGACTCCCGAGCTGTTACACTATTCTGTTTTCTGGGCAACCAGAACAAATACACAAGTAAAATCCCTTCCTGAGTCATTACTCCCCAGTCAACAGAAGAAAAATCAAGGTATTTTCTTCTAAAGTAAGTTTAGATTTCCTGGCTTGGACTCCCAAAGTGTGCATGCATCCAATCTGCAGCTTAGTAAGGTGGTCAGCTCAATACATCCTTTTGAAAATACACATGGATGGATGTTGTTGCAATATGGTTGTTCACGAAGTTTAGGAACCTCTTTTCTAATGTAAAATATTAATATGCACTGAATTTATTCCCTTGTCTGGGTTTAGGGTTTAACTCAGACAATATTAGCTAAAATTTTTCACAAAGGTAGGCTTCCTTATCACATGCATAGGACATTAAATAGGACCAAAGAAGTGCTAAATCAGTCCTTGGCAGCTGTTAATCTTTTCTCTAACTACTAGTGGTGGTTTAATCCCTGTGTCCCCTCTGCTTCTGTTAAAGTATGTCCTGAATTTCAGTTCATATTTCCAGAACCAATCTCTTAGAAGTTCATACATTGAGAGTTGAGAGAAACACGAGTGCTAACACTTATATTATGGGCACTCTTGAAGTTGTAGGCACTTAGAAAGCAGTAGAATGACACGGATCAATCAAAAGCGTTTATTTACTCTGATGCTTGCTACTAGACTGAATCCTGAAGATTCAAAATTAGAGTTCTGGTAAGAAAAATACTAGACAGCCAAGATTTATTTGTTTTATTTTAGTTTTTTGTTTTTATTGATTAACAGAGAGGAAAAAATGAAATTTGATAGGACAGACGGCTTACTCTTGATCGCTTCTAGTTGCTGTTTATTTTCACTGATGTTTACATAACTGAAGCATTGAAGCACTGCATATTGTCAACACCAAAAGCAGGATAGAAAAATGTAATGTTCTATATTGAAGCAGTTTATGAGTAAATCAACTGCTTCTGGGTTAATATTTAATGCATATCCTTCTATTACTCCAGAAGAACAAAATCCAGTCTTTGAAAGCCTTCTATTGCTGAAAAAAAAAAAAGAAACTGTATTAATTTTTATGCATATTTTTAATGCCTGTTCAGTTCTTCTAACTGCATGCTTTCATTATAATAAATTGGCCTTTCAAAAACAAATGCCAGTAAGAAATAAGGGACTTAAAAGAGAGAAAGAGTGTAAAATACACTGCACTGTAACTTTGTAGGCATTGTAGGCATATCTACAGTTTTCCTTTATAAATTGTGACATGTCTTGGGTTCATACTTAATAACCCCTCAACTGAGCAAGTGTTCAGCAGCTCACAGAATAGGACCCTATGTTTTAGACTTAAATAACAAAATTACATTAAGATGTAGATAGATTTCACATATTAGCAAAGGTGAAATAGATTGCCAATCAAAAAATGACTACTGCAGTAAGATTGTGGAAACAGTTGAATAGAAACACTGGAATTGTTAGAGCCATGATATAATATATAACAGATCTAGCTGCAAAAGTTAATAGTGATTTTTCTAAATGTACATCTGGTGTCTTTCTTTTCTTTACATTGAAAAGAATGTGAGTTGTACTACCATTCCACTTAATTTATAATTTGTCAGTATATAAACATCTGAAATATATCAGCATGCTCTGTCACTAAACTTTGCAGGTTTTGAGGATAAAATAAAGTCTTCCCACCATGCAATATCATAACATAAGAGATATTTTAGGAAACTTTATCAGTAATGCAGAAAGTTATCTCGTGGTGATGAATACTGTCGTACATTGATGATAAGCAGAATATATGAAAGGAAAAAAGGAATACAAAGATACTAAAGTTACAGAGATGCTGTTGTAGATGACCAAAGCAAAAAGTATACGAATGCTGCAGAAAAGATGAACTAGCAGGGTTTAAGATAACTTGATTAGTTAAAAAAACCTTTAATACGCATAAGTGAAAGAAAATGGGTTTTAGACACGAGTAGTTGGACTCAAGGGACCTGAAATTAGGTGTTAATACCTGAAATTAATGCCTCTTACTTATTTCCACAAAAACTAGAAAAAGATTTAAGTTCTTAGGAGTTTAAAAGAAAGCAATTATGTAAGTGGTTTAAAAAGATTTTATAAGTATTCCTAGCTACCAGTCATTACCAAACTCTGTATATGATACTGTATAGCTCCCTCATCACTTACGTAATTAATTCCAAAACAGTACGTACTTATTCTGATGGTGTTTGGAAGCACAAAAGTGTAGCTGCCATTGAAATATTTCACTTAATTGCAACTAAAATTAATATGCCAATTAAACTAACTGTATACTTACAATCCTGCATCCATTCACTATTTTATTGTAATAAATACATTTATTAACCTGCAATCCAAATCATTAAATTTCATTTTCTAAGTAACATCAGATACAGGTCAAGTAACTGATGGTACCTAGCAGCAGTAACAAAGCTGTTAACATAGTTCCCATAACTGCCACTTTCACACTATAATCACTTTTTCTCCACACTCTAGAGGAATGTTTGAACCCATTCCAGTAAGAATCCAATGTAGATGCTCTACATCTGAATGTAGATGTCTTCTGGGAAGAACCCATGTGTTTCTCCTGTTGATATAAGAAGAATTAGGAAGGTAAGAAGCTAGGTGCTTGAGAGAGTGCCATGCTTGTAATGCCTGTGGATTGAAAAGTAACTAAGAAGAAGTCAAAACCATGATTTATGCTACCTCTAGCATAAGACTGGACCATATTTAGCTCTTAGACACTGTTCTTTTGAACAACAGGACAGCTGTCATTATTGAGCAATTATTAATATAACAGTTCACAAGAATACACTCTAACCTGATTCAGACAAATAACAGAATGCAGTTAATTTCCCTAAATGCATGAAGTATAAAAGACAGAAAGCAGTAAATACTTAATGCAGACAGATGAGATTGGGAAATTGGATTGAATAGAATGTGAAAAAGAAATTACAAGTTTATTTTATCATAAAATGAAAATGTTTCCACTTACCTAAACAGTATCAGATGGAAGATCTATATCATGGGAAATACAGATCACAAATAGAGCAGCTGTAATAGCATACACAGAGCCTAACAATGATTATGCATATTAAATTTAATTCAACACTTCAGAGATTAGCAGTTAATAGGCCTAATTCATTTATGTCTGATGCACACTACACATCCATTCATTTCACCAGGACACTTAAAAATATTGGCCATTAATTGTACTTACTTTGTGGATGTGTTTGATTTTTCAATTTCTGTGTTGTTTAGGAGTGTCACACGGTGATTATACAGTGGGAAACAAAATACAGTTCTTTGCTTTTTCTTCAAAGGACCAATTGGCCAGTGTTCTTATTTAGTCAAAATATAGATTTTGTTTTATTTAGTAGGGTTTATAACTGACATAGGGAATTCCTTGGATGCACGCAACATATATGTTAGTCTATACCTAAAGCACACATAAAAGGGATCTTCCAAGTTCACAGATGAAGAGTAACTTGTTGCACACTATATTCGAGTCACTTGTTGCTAAAATACATGCTCATTGAAAGAAGAGGCACAAAGCTGGACGAGAATTACAGATTTGCAGATAGGGGAAATTCCCACCTCATGCATCCTAACAGCAAAATACCCATTTTGCTATGGCCACGCCTCCTTGGAGGCTCAGCACAAGCAGACAGGCAGCAAAAAACAGCTTGTAGTGGCAGAATGGAAAAGGTAGCCCAGCAGAAGAGAAAGATTGTCTGGGCTCAAGGGCTCTGAATTCAGGCAAGCTGCTGAGGCGATCTAGTGCTTTGTTCATTGGTACTCCAGCAAACACTGCTGTGCTGGTCCTACAATTAGCATGGCTATTGTTTTTGCAGTGAGCTTTCTGGAAGTTTTGTGTATCCCATGCTTCTACTGAAATCCCTGCTTATTTTACAGGGGTGAACCTCAAATCCTCTTTGAGTTTGATGGCTTTGGGCTTGTGAGAGAAAATTCCAGTTTCTAGTAGAAAGGTGAAGGGGAAAAAAAAGTGGAAGTAGAGACATGGAGAAGAAGGGAGCTCAGTTATAAATCATGAAGCATTTGCCAAGAGTGTGATAAATAGTATGGTACATTAAAAAGTAGTTAAATTCATTATACTAAACTTAAACCTTTAAATAAAATTAATCTGATTTAAAACAGTCACAAGTCAGGAAACTCAGGCTTAAGAACAGGATCCATTTAAAGTCATTTTATTCTAGCTTGGTTTATCAGCATATTTACCGGGAGCTAATGTAACTTCTGCAAATCTTACACATCATGAAAACTCAAGCAGTTCTGCCAAGAGTTGGTGATAAGTTGCTATAACAGCAGCTTGGGGTTTGAGAAATGCACTTTGTTTCACACTCATGGTAACAAGTGACCTGGTGGTAATGACATCATTAACACATTTCACCTTTTTATGCTCTCCCGCTGGTATTTTACTTACACTGGTTTATGGGGGAATCATTTCATTTTGGTGCTTGAAGTCCCTTGTACTTTTAGTGGTACTTTTAAGAAAATAAAGATAAAAGCGAGACGAGATTGTCCTCTGTGATATGTGATTTGGGAGGGATACATCTGATTCTATCAGCAGATTCAATCTTGTATGAAAAGTAACTTGGGAATTTTTATGGCTAATCAGATAAGATTGTGATTATTCTAATTCAGTTTTCCCTTCAGGAATAGGCAATACCCTCTTTTAATAACCAGTTATTAGGTACTTGTCAAGTTTTCTAACAGCTTCTCCACGTTTCTAGATTTTTATGCAAGGTATGTATACTGAAAACAGACAAAACAACAGACTGAATAGTTTCTCCATTCATTACATGACGTAGTCATTAATAATTTTTAATTCTAGCTATGCTTGGAGCAGGATCTTTTGTTCTGGTTGTTGCTATGTGTCAATGTACTTCTCTATGTACTCCTTCAAGTACTGAAAAAATTATTAAATCTACTGTTTCTCTGTTCTTTTCAAAAGCTATCTTTCTGACACCTTTTTTTTCTTATGAATCTAAAACCACTATCACCTATTTAACAATTGCAGTTTAATAACATCCTACACCTGAATTTGTTTACAAAAGCATTTACCATTAACAAATTGCTTCCTGCATCAACAATGTGAAAGCAAACCTATTAACCCCCAGAATTTGGGAGAGTGGGAGGAAGAAAAGATAAACTCACCCAACAGCAGAAAACATCACAGTACCCTGTAGTGGATGGGGCAGATCCTATCTCCATTGACAACAGTTGGACGCTTATCACTGAATTCAAAAGGATTGCACATTGAAAAAGGATTTCAAAATGGGAATTTGTGCTCGATTTCCAAACAAAGCTAAGTATTTGACACCTTTATTATACTCCAAGTGCTCCACTAACACAACAATACGGGGCAGAACTGGGTTCGTCCTCGAGAAAGGAGAAGTAATTGTTGTCTTCAGCTACCTAATGGAGGGTTGCAGAGGCGGAGTCAGACTCTTCTCTGAGGTTAAACACAAAAGACAGGAGGCAATGGACTTAAGTTACAGCAAAGAAAATTCCGAAGGAGCATCAGGAAAACTTGATTGTCGCGGCAGTCAAAAATTGGAAGTGTCGTCTGGCTGTTCAATCTCCATCCTTTTAAGACATTCAGAACTTGGCTGTTTGACCCTGAGCAACCTTTTTTCTCACGTAGTTTGTTCTTGCTTTGAGCGGAGGATGTGAACCAGATGTCCACCAAAAATGGAAAGAAATAAAGGTTGTTTGTGGAACTGTTGGAGCTCTCAAGTCTGATTTGGAGAAGATACATATTAAATGTACATATTCAGGTGAAATTTATAAAAGTCACGTAGGCCTTGCTGAATCCAAGCAGCACTACACCAATTTGTGCCAGTTGAAGATAAAGATTTGCTGCAATGAAACCTAGGATTAACTCTTTGTTTTTGGGACTGGGAGCCAAATACACAGGCTATGATACACCAAGTTACTGTAGGGCACGGACATATGGCACACGTTATTGTGGTGACTTTGCTCTTGTACTTGTCTTACTTCATGGCAAATGAGATGATCTGTAGCTCAGTCACCAAACCCTGTACATCATGATTAAATAAGAATCACATGTCCTAGATTAGCTTCTTTCAATTCATCCTTTGTTCACCAATCTATACCTTATTTTTCAAGTTTGGCATGGAGAAAGAGAACATCAGAAGCATCTGTACTGTCTAAAAAATAAAATAGGGCCTTAATCTCAAACAACTGCCAAAATATGACTCGTGTTATCTCAGTCAACTCTTGCTTCCGTCATACAAAACACCACCACATCACTTGATGACCACCCACCAATTTCTTTCCAAACTATGTGCCATATGACACAGGCTTCACAGCTCTCCACACTTCATTTTCAGTAGGATTGTCAACTTTTAGTCACCTAGCAGAGTACTAAAAAAAGAGGATCTGTGGCTAGACAAGAAATAACATTAATTGAAGTCTGTTAGCCCCTCTCACACTTCACTATGTAGTCCATGTTCCAGAAGCCTTCACAAGACATTGAAGTCTCTCCATTAACCGATACGGCCGATCCCCTGCAAAGACTCTGACATCACAAGAGACATACCAATTGTGAAAGAACAGGAAAATTGTTCTTGCAATTACTTTTTTTTTACCAGAAATAGTAATGTTCTGAGTGGCTTTTTGTAAAACATCACCTATACCTTTAGAGTTCAAATCTCTACATATGGGACTACGTTTTTTATTTCATAAACATTGCAAAGTTAAAGACTTTATTTCAAGGAATTTCATTTAAAAGAAAAAATAGTAAATGGCACATCATGTAATTGCTATTTATTTTCATAAACATGAGGTATTTCAAAGTGCTATAAGACGCAGCACTAAATGTACACCGTTGGAAGAAATTAAACACAGAACTTTGCAGTTACCCAGTTCTATGCACCAAACATTAACAAATACATTAACTGGAAGAAACAGGCTAGGAAAAGGCATATATAGTAAATTTCTTTACAAAAGTTTCTTAGTTCAAAAAAGTGATAAAGTAATATCTACTCAAAACTTTCACAACTCATTTTCATACGAAAATATAAGTATCAAATTTAGTTATGTATCAGCGTCATACTAAAGTATACAGGCAATGTAAGAATTAGTACAGTACATAACAGAGATTAACAATATATTTGTATACAAAAACATGCTCCTCAAACATTGAGGTATTACAGTACTTAGGTATGAACTTCCAGTCTAATACTGGCAGCAAAAGCCACCTCTCATAACCCAAGACATGTACAAAAGGCAAGTGTGTAGATGGTATTTACAGAAAATTCCCAGAGGGGTACAAATGCCAACCCCCTAAAGTAACATCTGTTAGAACATAAGCACCATAAAAATTAGGAATGAATGTTTTTAACTCAACTAGATGTCATCAGCAGCTCCAAATGCTCACAACAATTAAAAAAAATTTTAAAAATCCACCATCTACAGTTCTTAAGAAGAAAAACAAAGGCAGTCCATTGTTGTTTGGTAGTCTTGCAATAAACTTCTTGCAAGAACATCCATTTGCTCCGTACCCGGATAATAAAGTTTGTCAATTACTTCAGGGACTGAATTGAAAGTAAAACCAACATTCTTAACGTCAAAAAACACAATTTTTTTTTAAAGAATCAAAAATGTGCAAAGTGGCAATGACTGTCCTGGTCAGCCAAAAAAAAAAAAAAAAAAAAAGAAAAAAAAAGAGAGAAAGAGAAAGAAAAAAGTTTAGCAAGTCCGCTTGTACTCTATTTTCTTTAGCAACTGTTGTTGCCTGGCTTGCAATTTCTCCTTTTCTAGCAACAACTTCTGTTCCTCTGCCTGAAGGGAATGGACATATTCAGTGGCTTTTTTCAAAATCACAACTTTTGCAGCTTTCTCATTTTTAACAAGTTCTGGAACGTGGTCCCTTAACGTGAGGAAACTGGACCGTAGATCATTACGCCTCTGACGCTCCAAGATATTATGGTTACGTCGACGTTCACTATCCTCCGAATCAGAGTTTCGAGGACTTGAACTCTTAGACTTTGGTTGGATCATGGGTTTTACTGGACGGGGCACCTCGGCTTTTAACTTTTTCTGTGGTGGTGCATCTTCACTCTCCATATATGGAGAAGGAGCGGCATAATTATGCTGCTGGTGAATTGGTGCACAACGCTTTAAAATCAGTTCATTCTGCTGTGTCCTGACTGATGGAAAAGTGGTATTTTTAGGACGCACTGTAATAGTGAGGGTGGTAACAGCCTTGTTGGAGGAGGAGCGTCTTTTCTCCACTGTCACAACATCTATTTCTTCTTCATCATCCTCTTCTTCCTCGTCTTCATCATCTTTTGAAGAAAAAAAATGGAAAATGAAATTTATATTATTCTCTCAGAAAACAAACATTAATATTTATTGACAAAATATGACATTAGAAATACCAATATAATAGCTGATGGTAAAAAACAGGGTGTGCTCAATGTCCATAATCAAATATAGTTCTAGAGATGTATATAACATGCACTAAACGAAGGAAAAAAAAACCAAACAACAAAACAGATTTTTGCAAGTTTGGGAACTTTTATGAGGTTTGTTTCTCACAGAATATTTTGAGTTTGAAGGGACCCATTAGGACTGTATCCAACTCCTTTTCTTTAACCACTTCTAATTTTAAATAAAAGTGGGGCTACCACCCAACTAATCCCAGTGGCAAAAAGTTTTCATACAAAATGCATTCATTTTTACTACAGCTGCAGAGCTGGGGCACAAACTGCACGCACAGAGCCACAACACAGCCCTGGGTTGGTGGAAAAGCAGACGGGAAACGAAACAATCGCTGGGTTTGTTCTAGTGCAGAAGGTGAAGCTGCTCCCGCCGGGGACCCTTTAAGCCGGCGCTTGGTGCAGTGCCAAGAAGACAGCTGTTGGAAGTGCTTCCTCACCCAAAGCTGTCAAACCAGACATTAAAGGGACAGCAGGCTCCGCGAGCCGAGACGGATCGCCAAGTTTATGGTGACGATCACACGGACCGCTCACTTACACACGCAGTTCTGCTACACTACCGAACCGGACAGGAGCTATCTGAGGGCATTTTAGGCTCTGCCAGTGTACAGACGAGGACCCTCTGCGGGCTGCCAGCCTCCCCACACCGTAAACATCCTCCACCGAACGTACATTCCCTTCGCTCCTGACCACACGCTCCCCACAACGGCCCCCGGAACGGCGCACACACAACCCCGGGACGGCAGGAGGACGTTGGGAAGCCCCAGGAGCCGCACAGCACCGCCCAACCACACCGTGCCCGTTGCTGTTGGCACACCGCCCCGCAGGGAACCCAGCCCCGTGGGGCGGCCGGCCCGGCCCCCGCCGCGCCCGTTGCAGCTGCTGCCGCCTGCCGGCCGGCCCGCACCCCGCACCGCCCGCCCCGTCGAGGCCCGCCGCGCTTACCCGAGTCGCTGAGCGTGTCGTCCCCGGAGCTGCTGCTGCTGGCCCGGCTGTCCCCGGCGGGACGCGGCGGGCGGCCGCCACGCAGGGTCTCACCGCCGCTCGGCACCGCCGCTTCCCGCTTGTTGACGGGGAAGGGGAAGACCACGGCCGGGTCCACGCACTCGGGCACGGAGCCGCCCAGCTCCGCGCGGCCGGGACCGGCGCTGGGGCTGTTCGCGGCGGCGACAGCGGCGGTGGGTACAACGGGGGGCGGAGGCGGCGGGGCGGCGGCGGGCGGCTTGCCCTGCAGCTTCTCGCTCACCACCCGCTCCAGCTTCTCGCGGGCCGAGAAGCCGCTCCACATGCAGTCCTGGATGATGATGGAGTTGAGGTTGTTGCTCGCCCCGAGGCCGGTCTCGAAGAAATCCGCGCCGTCCGCGCCGCCCCACAGCTCGGCCTCGGGGGGCAGGAGGAGCAACTCGGACGCCCAGTCCAGGGGATCTGCGGGACGGCAGCTCCCCAGGGCCGCCCCTCCCCACGGCAATGGAGCCCCTCCCGGGGGGTGCTCCTGCAGCCCGGCCCGGCTGGGGGAAAGCGGAGGGGTGGGCAGCAGCTCGAACTTCTTCCAGATGTCCTCCCCGGGAGGGGCCGAGTCCGGCCCGCATAAATAGAAATCATCTTCGTCCGGGTAGAAACAAGGCTGTAAGGAGTCGAACTCGAGATCTGGGTTCTTGCTGATCATTCCCGGCATGGCGGGGCTCTCCGTGTCGATTCCCGGGCTGGGGGCTCTTGTTAGAGGCGAATTTTACGGTAGTTCCACCAAGGAGAGGAAAGATGTGCCCAGAACCTGAAACTAAAGCAAAAAAAAATGGAAATAAAGAAACGAACACAATTAAAACACGAAGAAAGACGCCTGTAATTTCCGATTATGTAGTGGGGGAAAAAAAATAATAAAAAAAAGAAAATTAAAAAAAAGTCCCATCACAGATAGCAAAAAAAACAAAACAAAAAAAAAAAGCAACAAAAAAACCCAAAAAACAAAGAAAAACAAACAAACCAGGAGCCTTTACAAGTTAAGGAGGAATGCAACGCACCTTTTCGGACGCCGCAGGGCAGCGGCCATGAGCCGCTCCGGGGTGCACGCACACCTCCGGTCCTGCACGGAGCTCCGCGCTCTGCCCGACCGCCTCCAGCGCTCACAGCTGCACAGCCGCGGGCAGATGCACGCCTCCCTGCAGAAAGCCCTCCTGATACGCGACCACGAGCAAAGGAAGTTTACTCCTTTTGTCATTTCCAGCGTAGTGGGGAGAAAAGGATGCAAAGCAGAGGCTCCCCGAGCCGTGCAACCCCATCAGGGGAATCCAACAGCAGCAAAGACGGACGCACACCAAACGCATTAACACAGCCCAACAAAGCCTGACTCGCTACAGGAAGTTTTTCTCCCTCTTTGCAGTTTAACACGAGAGCCGCACGTTTCGCCCCGGGGAACAGCGCCCTTACCTCGGTGCCCCCGCGCTACCCGCGGCCGCTCACCCGCAGCCCCATGCTCCTCTGCATCGAGCATTGATACCGAAATGAGTTCTTAGTCCCGACCCAGCGAAGGGAAAACGCTGTGCTGGGTTGCGAACAGCTGACGGAGAGCAAAAGGGGGAGGAATAAAAAAACACAACAAATCCGTGCAAAGCGCTCTGATGAAATGCACCGAAACGCGGCTCAGCTGCTCGCCCCCGCCCCGCCCCCTGCTCCTTTCCAGCATTGTGCGCTTCCCTGCTCCCGAAATACACGAAACCGTTAAAAATGCGAAGCCGCAAAGAGGCACCTACAGAGAGCGGCGAGCTCGGTGCGACCGCTCCGCAGGACAGCCCAAATATCCGCTCAATGAAACCCCCATTGAGGGCCGGCGGAGCGCTGCCGCTCCCGTCCCATCCTCCCAGCTGGATGTGGGATTGTATTTATTTCATGGGGGTTTTGTCCTCCCGCTGCTGGCAGCCCAGACCCTGCCGCTTCCTCCTCCTCTTACCTCCCCGCTGCCGGCGGTGGGTGTTGCGAGGGGGAGGAGTGGCGGGGTGGGGGGAAGGGAGGGGAGAAAAAAAAAAAATAATAAAAATAGCTGACACACCCGGGGAGCATTAAAAAAAAAAAAAAAAAGGGGGAAGCGCGGCGTAACCCCACCCCCTGATTTCCATAGAGAAGGGAGGTGCCTCCGCTTGGCGCCAAAAGCCCCATTCGCTCTTTATTCTCCGGCGCGGTGCGAGGCGCGGGGCGCTGCCCGGGGGTGCGGGGCTCACGGGGCCGCCCCGCCCCGCGGGGACGCGGCGCTGCGTGAGAGCGGCGGCTCTATCTGCGAGCACCGAGGAGGAGGGGAAAAAAAATAATAATAAAGGAGAGGAATAAAGGAAGTGTCTGGGATGAGGAGTCGTCCCCCGCTCTGGGCTTTATAAAGAACTAACGCTCGTCCTGCGGTGATCGCCTCCCCGCTCCGCCGCGCGCACCTCCGGCCCCGCCGCGCCGCACGGCAGCTCCCGGCCGGAGCCGGCGTTCCGCTGCGCGCGGCGACACCTTGCGGAGGGCCGGGGGCGCGGCGACCGCGCGCCTCCCCCCGGCGGCGGACACCCACCGCTCTGCCTCCTTCCCCGGAGCGGCGGGGAGACCGCGGTACGGCAGCGCGGCGCCGTCCTCGGCGGTGCGACCGCGGTCCGGCGACCGCTCGGGCAGGCGACTCCCCGCTCATAGGCTGCAGGTTGAGGCGGGGACGTGGGCGTTGCTGCCGGCGGCCGCTTGTTGTGCGGCCGGGCGGGGCGCCGCCTCCCGCAGCCGCCCGGGGTGAGCCCGGCGGCTTCAAAAGTGGCAGCTCCGAGAGAGGGTCTGTGTGAGTCGCTGAGGAGGAGCTTGTTTCTAAGTGCGGAGCCAGACGGCGGCAGTCCCTGCACCGTACACCTTCACCACGTTCCCCCCGTTGTGCCTCAGCCCCTGGGTTTCGCTGTCTTCTGAGTTGATGCTTGCCTCCATGTTGTGCTTGGGTGGCCGAGACTGAGGTTTCAAGGCCCCTCCAGGAAGGTGAGGTAGCCTTAAGCGTTCACACCGTTGTTTGAATGTCCGCTGCAGAACTGAAAACATACAGAGGGGTTGGCCAGATGGAGCTGGTTGGGCCCGGCTGCAGCGCAGATTGCTGGAGAAGGAAGATGGCAGCTGTGGGGCTCTCACCTCGGTGTGAAGGCGCTGCCCCACACCATCGTGGCGGCGGCCCGGTGCATCCATGCTGCAGCAACCAACAAACAGCTGTGTGCGACCAGCGTCTGGGTGGCAACCAGGGCACGAGGTGCAGTGCAGTGCCAGCTCAAGCAGTGGCAAATGCTTGTATGCGTTTTGATGCACTGGCTAAACACAGTCCTGGGAACAGCAGAAAAAAAAAATCTACAGCCTTGCTTTCTGTTTGGGTAGAGTTTGAGAATTGGTTTCAAGATTGCTTAAAAAATCGGATTTATTTTTTTTTCCTGTATTCATGACTGTTTTCAGGCAACATAAATGCATCACCTGTGGATTTTCAAGTGGGTTGTACAGAGTTGCAATCAGACATTCAACTAAAAAAAAATCTGATCATGTCTCTTTACCAGACTTCTACAAAACATCTTTTACCAGAGAAAAACATCCCTCGCTTCACAATCACACGTTATTCACATCATCACTTTTTGGCAGTATGCACATTTGGGAACAGCAGTTTTCAAGGGTGAAGCACAGGAAGAGTAAAATTTCATTTAAGATCTCTGATGAACATCTTGAGAGCTCACTGAGAATTGCACCCACTGCCATCAGTCCAGCTTGATGTGTTAGTGTCACAGAAACAAGATCAAATATCCCACTAGTTTTATGTTTTTGTTGCTTTCTTTTCTGTGTTTTAATGAAAAAAAAAATTTTTTTTTGCTTGTTTAAAAGTTGTGTTGCTTATACGCATTAACTTCATCATCAAGTTTATGAGGGCTGCTCCAAAAGTAATGCTTCCTATTTTATTATATCAGCTCATGACATCAGATGTTGGTAGTATGGCAGTAGAGGTTGAACCTTCCCTTCCCACTGGTGTTCCATTACATTTTGTTGCTGTGTGACAGATGGCAGCAGAAGGGCAGTCTGACATAATGGAATCGAACATGGAAGTGCAGGTGAAGTAAAGGCCTGTCTCTGAATTCCTTAAAGCAGAAAAAATGGTACCAGTGACATTCATTGCTGCTTGCTGAACATTTATGGAGACCAAACATTGCGTGTGAGCACAATGAGGTGGGTGGTAGTTTCAGCAACTGCCATCATAGCAGCTGTGGAAAAGTGGCTTGCCTCTGCTGGTGCAGATTTTATGAGCGTGGCATGCAGGCTTTTGTTCATGGCTGGTGAAAATGCGTAGCCAATGGTGGTGACTGTTAAAAAATAGTACTTCTTAGCTGGAAATTTTCTCTGTCAAACAGCGTTATTGTGTATTTTGTATTGGTTGTACTTTCTTTGGAAATTTCTTCTTCCATTTCAGTAGCCTTTAACGGGTTGCAGCTCATTGGTTTTACCACATATAAACAGTTTATTCATGCTCATCATTTGAAGATTTTCCACAATTTATACAATTATTTATGATTTGAAAGTAATTCTTATTAACAGGCTGTCTTTACTATCCTTTAAAGTATTTGTTTCTATCAATCTATGAACTTTTAGTCTACTGTGGTGTGTAGTGTGATATCTTTTGTACCTGAACGTGAACATTAATGAAAGGTGATGGTCAAGACAAAACTTTTAAAGTAATTTTCACTGTGGGAAAACAGAAAAAAAGAGGAAGTGAAAAGCAGTACATTACAAAGCATTGCAGTTGATAAACACTAATTCTAAAATTCTAGGTCTTTTCCTTTGTCCTGAACATTTAAGACATGAAAAGACATGAAAACATTGTGCAAATCTTTTAAATAACTGCGAGCATCTATGTGTTTTTTGTTTTTTTTTTAAGTTGACACATGGCTATTTTATCAGTTTTTCTTATTTTTTGGTTCTTTGATCGTTTCTGTCTCTAGGCAAGTGGAAACCTGAAATTACATATAGTTACTGTGCACTTACAATTACTTCATGTCATTGAAACAACCTGGGAGTGAAGATGTGTTTTAGTATTGGGTCACGATGAAGACCATAGAATCATAGAATGGTTTGGGCTGGAAGAGATGTTAAAGCTCATCTAGACCACCTCTCACTAGACCAGGTTGCCCAAAGCCCCATCCAGCCTGGCCTTGAACATTACCAGGAATTGGGTATCCACAAATTCATTGGGCAACCTGTTCCAGTGCCTAACCACTCTTGTATTAAAGAACTTCTTCCTAACATCTAATCTGATTCTAAACTCTCACACTTTAAAACCATTATCCCTTGTCGTGTCGCTACACTTTCTGATAAAGTATCCCATTCCAGCTTTCTTGTAGGCCCTCTTTAGGTACTGGCTGCAACCAGGTCTCTCGGGAGCCTTCTTCAGGCTGAACAATCCCAGTTCTCTCAGCCTGTCTTTGTAGGTGAGGTGCTCCAGGCCTCTGATCATTCTCGTGAGCACCATGTTCTTTTTGTGCTAGGGGCTGCAGCTGAACAGAGTACTCCAGGTGGGCTCTCATGAAAATGGAGTAGAGGGGGATGATCACCTCCTCACCCTGCTGGCCATGCTTCTTTTCATGTTGCCCAGGATATGGTTGGCTTTCTGGGTTTCAAACACCCAGCACAGAGCTCGTGTTCAGTTTTTCATCCACCAGTACTTTTAAGTCCTTCTTCTCAGGTTTGCTCTTAATTTGTTCTTTGCCCAGCCTTGTATTTTGCTTGTGATTGCCCTAACCCATTTACAGCACATGGCACGTGGTCTCATTGAATGTAATGAGGCTCACAAAGGCACACTTCTTACCCCTGTCAGGTTCTTCTAGATGGCATCCTTCTTTGTTGCGATGTATATTTTCTGGTCTTACAGGAGGTTATCCAGCTTTCTGGGGCCCCTCTTCCTTTCAGGGCTTTATCCCATGGACCAAGCAGATCCATGAAGAGAACAAAGAATGCCTTCGAAAGTCCAGGGTTGTGAGCTTGCAGTGTGCCCTCCTTGCTACCATAGTGATATTAAACTCCACTTGCTCATGATCACCACAAGCAAGACTGCTTTTGATTTTCACATTTCCCACTAGCCCCTCCTTGTTGGTAAGAACGAGGTCCAGCATAGTTCCTCTCCTTGTTCCTCTTATCACTTGGAGAAGTAAGTTATCATCAACAATTACCTCCAAGATTGCTTATGCCCTACTGTGTTGTCCCTCCAGCAGATAACCTCAGATAACCTGGATTACATGAGGCTGCACCTATGGTCTATAAAGGATCTCATCCTCTTGGTCTTTCTGTTTAGGGGTCTGTAGCAAACCCCCACTATAATGTCACCTGTCCCTAACCTCCCTTAATTCTGACTCATGACGCTTTCCTTCAGCTTCTCATCCATGCCCAGATAGAGCTCCCATCTGATCAATGACATGGAGGGTGATACTCCTTCCTGTTCTTCCTAAAGAGCCCATGTTCTTCCATTCCAGCACTGCAGTGGGGACCATCTCACAAAATCTCCATGGTGCCAATACGATCACAGATGCCAGTAAGATCAGATCAGTTGTGAACCAAATATTTAAGATGTTGTAAGAAAATTGAGTTTATTCTCAGAAGTATTCGAAGTCTAACTAAGTGCTTCTGAGATGCAACAGGGAAAACTAGGATCATAACATTCTGGGAGCTGACATTGAATTTGCAAAAACATTCTTTCACTACATATTTTGTGGGTGGCTTTCTTCATTGTAGTCTATTCTAAACATATTACTTCTTGGAGATTTTTGTAAAGTTCTCCACAGACTCAGTAAAGCTATTGTTCTGCAGGCTTTTAGTTTCCCTTTCTAACTCTGGAAGAGTAGAGAAAGAAATTGTGTCTACAGGGTTAAAAGATACTTTTGTTTACACTGTGGTAAGAATGCAGGTAGAACCTGTGGTCTTTAATTCTGCTTAACAAGTTTGCAAACAGTTGTGCTGAGGGCTGAGATGTCATAAACACCTGGGTGTAATCTGTGGGCAAGTTCCTGGTGTTCTGAGCTG